AGTGTTTTTATCCTCCCAGACAAGTCTGGTACCAATTAACCGACCCCGGAGGGATGGAAGGCTTGGTTGGCCCGGGCGACTCACGACCCAGGATTTGATCCCCGGACCGCTCGCGTGGTAAGCGCGCCACTTGTCACTACACCACTTCCGCCCTTTATAAGTAAAAAAAAAGAAACTTGGCTGGAGCGGTACTCGGGTGACCGGAAAAACCAGCTAGGTGCATCTTTCCAAAAGTTACACCTTGGTTTGGATCCTGACAAACAAACCCTCCATCTCACTGGATTGTTCACTTGCACCAGACTTGTTTGGGAGGATGCAAACGCTGACCCCGTTTAGTCGCTGTATGGCCAAAACGCCGTCACCAAGACTTCGAATAGAAATTCATGCAGGGACCTCAACAAAAAGGGGTAGGTCAAATTATTCAGCTTTTCGGTCACCCTTGAGCCTACTTTTCAACGGTTCATGGCGCAACATGTGAAAAAACATAATTTCGGTTCCCAGTTTCTGGTGCCAAATTTAGCTTGAAACGTCAAACCATTCAGTAATGCTCTTCCTGATCCTATTCCTAGGCTCAGACTCCATTCAGAGTCGCATCAGTGCTGGAGTGTCAGCCTGATGATTGATTTGATGATGATGAGTTGCGTTGTATCAATCGTGTTGTCCTCTATGTTCCTGTACCTTCAAGAACATCTGCTCGAATAGTCCTTTTCATTTCGGGTTGCTCCGGCAATTCAGATGGCCACATAATCAAAAGTCCTCTCTTTTGAGCGGTAGTGTGCTCACTGTCTCCCACAGGCCATGTATTGCCCAAGCCACATCATAAGCAGCACGCAGGCATGACCTAGCAGCCCGGTAATACTCTTGCATTATGCAAACCAATTCCTAGAGCTTTATGGAGTGGTGAGAGTGCCCAGCGAGTCATGGCAAATTTACATTCAAACATTTCAAACAAACGGAATTCGGGAAAGGTTTGGCCTCTGCGCTACAAAACCTCTTGAAAGGACAAAATTTATTCTCGCGAATAGGCACTTCTTGAATTAGGGACAAAAGCTTCGTGATTTAAATAGTTCAAACAAACACTTCCGGGACATATTTGCTCAAATTCCCACGCATCAAACGTGGTGCATGTTTACGTTGGCGAGCGGAATCGCGATACGGTAGCGAAAGTGAGATGCTGTCTAATGTTAGGATTGAGTGAATGTAGTCGATATGGGGCTACTATTGAAGCTTGTACATTGAAATGTTGTGAGATTAGGACTCACAGGAGCCACTACTTCCGAAAACTAGATCAGATTTCTTCCCGTAAGTGCAAGGTCAGGACGAGACACTCCAAACAATCCAACACCAGTGGATGCTTTGCAAAAAAGGATTTCAAACTGGCGATCTCAGAAAGCTACATGTAGAGCTTATCGGCCATGTTCGAAAAGTCTAAATGGCGCTCATCCAGCACTATTAGCTCACTTTATTTCTGTCTGCACATAAATGGA